CTAAATGGTGACAAATGAAGAACAAACATAAGGCAATTTATTAAACAATGACAACCTTAACTTCAACGGCACAGAAACTATGACAGACAAAGGCAGATTTTTTTCCAAAAAAGAAAAGGCCAATCATTGGCAATAAATGGTCACCGGGCTAAACAAATTCAATATCATACATTTTTTAATGAACAATAACTGAAACACCATTTTGAAAAAATAACAACTACTGAAATATTATCCACTCGCAGTCTAAGCCCTGTCACACACTTTTCCAATTCAATTCAAACCGAACAACAATCAAAAAACAATTTCAACATTCAACCACTTGACAAAGGACTTGAATTGAAGTTGAATGGGCAGAGGGAGAGTGAATGGTATAGCCATAAAATGAATTGGTCTTTTGTCCACCATTATTATCCTTTTAGCCATCATTCACACAATGAATTGTATCGAACATATGTTCGTTGGTGTTTTGTTCTGACTTGCTTTCACTCACATGTACCAAAGACCTCGAGTGTTGAACATACATGGTTCCACCTATTGTCACCATCAGTGGGACGAGTGAAAACGATGCCAACAACTTTTAGTGTCACTAATTTCATTACTTAATATCCTTTTTAAATAGTTAATGGATTTGCTGTCGAATGTGAAGGTGGTGAGGTATTTCATATGTGATCATTCATAGGTGGTATTGTTTCGAACCACAGTTCCACTTTTGTTTAATAATTGCTCAGCATATTTGAAATGAGGACTAGGAATATTTCAAGGACAATTCGTTTCATTTGATTTGCCACGGTTTGTAATATTTATTGTCTGGTTCAAGATTGACATGCTTGAATTTTGAAATCAATTTGATATTCTATGCTACTTCAATGGTTTCAATATTTAAGTATGATTAATTGCATATCCTTGATCCCTTGGCATTTAGGAATCGTGGTCAGAAAGAAGTTGTAGCTTTATTGAAGAATATTTTTTCTTGCGTCTACACAAGGTGTAGATTTTTTAAAGAATATTTTTTCAAACACCAAGAAGTCGTAGATTTTTAAAGAATATTTTTTCATCGACCTACACAAGGCGTAGATTTTTAAAGAATCTTTTTTCATGCACCTACACAAGGCGTAAATTTTTTAAAGAATGTTTTTTCATGAATCTACGCAAGGAGTAGATTTTTTAAAAGAAATTTTCTGGTGCCCTCTTTTGACGGGCAGAGGAACTAGGTCACTAGTGGTTGGACATCTAGTGGCAAGTGCTTGAATTACAAACACCACAAATTTTAGTCTACCTGCTTTTATTTATTTAGAATTTTTCAATGGTTTGGCCAAGCAATTCTGCCACTTCTTGGAAACCCATGAAATTGCATTTTAAAATCCATTCAATTGACGTTTTGCAGATCAAGAGGACGATACCTTAAGTTACTGGGTCATTCATACAAAACCATGCAATTAATTTCCATTTGAAGATCTTGTACACAAGTATGTCTCTTAAGTCTTTTGTTTCCACATTTAAACGTTCAATTACATTTTAGTTTAGTTCTACCAATAACTCAGTGATTTGTGTTAGAAAATTATTCTAAGGCTTGAGGATCAATAAAATTTTGTCGAACAATATCACAGTTGGATTAAAAAGGTTCGCTATTTTAGCAGCTGTTACTAAGTATTTTTTTTTATCTGGCCAAAAATGCCTTTCGCTATTCAGATTCATAGGCATAGTGAAGAGCTCAGTTGCCTATTTCGTGGAAAGGATAAAATGGTTCATTCAAGATGAGTTCGAAGATCTTTAATGGCGAGTATGTTGCTTAAGTCTTTTGTTTTTTGTCATACTTAAAAGTTCTTGAATGACTTCGGTGACCATTGACAAAATTAGGTGGACTTTTAGAGGACAGTTAAAAATCAATTAAGGAGAAATTTCTGGGAATTTTTCATCGACCTAAACAATGCGTAGATTTTTTAAGGAATATTTTTTCATCGACCTACACAAGGCGTAGATTTTTTAAAGAATATTTTTTCATGGACCTCCACAAGGTGTAATTTTTTTAAAGAATATTTTTTCATGGACCTATACAAGACGTATATTGTTTAAAGAATATTTTTTCGTGGAGCTACGCAAGGCGTAGATTTGTTACAGAATAATTTTTATGGACCTACACAAGGCGTAAATTTGTTTAGAAAATATTTTTTCATGGACCTACACAAGGCGTAGATTTGTTAAAGAATATTTTTTCATCGAACTACACAAGCCGTAGATTTTTTAAAGAATATTTTTTCATGAACCTGCACAAAGCGTAGATTTTTTAAATACATTTTTTATGGACCTACACAAGGCGTAGATTTTTTAAACAACATTTTTTATGGACCTACACAAGGAGTAGATTTTTTAAAGAATTCATCCGAATTGGATGAAATTTGGCATAGGTCACTTCCCATATATACTTTCGTCCGATTTAAGGATAATTGTTCCCCAAAGTCCCTATATATCTCTCGATTTGCACGAAATTTGGCATAGCGTAATGAAATAGAGGTAGAATAATTTGTGTCAAGTTTCCTGAAAATCGGTTCAGATTTGGATATAACTCTCATATATAGTTTCGTCCGCTCTCATGTAAATGGTGCACCAAAGTCCCTATATATATATCCTTCGATTTGCACGAAATTTGGCATAACGTACTTAATTGAGCCTAGAATGATGTCTGCCAAATTTCGAGAAAGTCGGACCACATTTAGATATAGCTCCCATATATAGTTTCGTCCGATTTCATGTAAATGGTGCACCAATGTCCCTATATATCCTTCGATTTGCACGAAAATTGGCATAACGTACTGAATTGAGCCTAGAGTGATGTCTGCCTTGTTTCGTGAGAATCGGTCCAGATTTATATATAGCCCCTTTTATTATAGATTGATTTTAAGTAATTGACGCACCAAGGAACCAATAGGCTGATAGGAACAAAACGTCCTTACTATACTTACTATAACCTAACCTGTGACATGTTTGTTTGAAATCGCTTAATATTTGGATAGAGCTTCCGTATATATTTTCGCCCGATTTCAAGTAAATTGGGCATCAAACTCCTCATGTAGTCAGATTGACATCAAATTTTGCACAAATTACAAAATTAAGCATAGAATTACGTAGTTGCGTTTTCTAGAAGTACAGAAATAGCCCAACGGATGACCTATTTATATTTGTTTGAAGTCGATTTACATACTTTATGGATAGATCTAGGTATATTCACATTTAGATAAATATCACATATTTTATTTCATCCAATTTCATGTTAATAGTCATGTTTAATATACCCATAGTGGTGAAGGATATTATATAGTCGGCCCAGCCCGACTTTACTACTTTTCTTACTGGTTTTTCAAATGCATTTGTGACAAGTATCAATAGAATAGCGATATTTCACGCTCACTCATGCAAACACTCAAGCCATAAAATTAAACCAAGCCAGAAGTATCAACACAAGAGTCCGACGGATTAACTTAGCAACGGTTACTAAGATTTCTCTACCTGCGCGAAAATATTTCACCTTTCTCAATGGCTTAGTGAAGTATATTGCACCGCGTTATACCACTTTTTCGGCAACCATGAAATTGTCATTTAAAATTCCTTCAATTTTAGGTTTGAAAATCTATTGTTGAAGTACCTCCTTGTAGTCCATTGTCTTGACACTTAAATGTTCTTCAATGACCAGTGTTGTCATTGACAACCTCTGGCGATTTGTTAGTTAAGGCTTGAGAATCAATAAAAATCGTATTCTATTGCAATAATAGCACAGCATGTGCAAAAATTGACCGCCTAACTTTTAGCAGCTGTTACTAAATTTGCCTACGTTGTAGAGGAGAGTTTTATGGCCATTTCATTGGAATCCATGAAAATTCATCGTTCATTCAATTTTAGTTTAAGCCTCCTTTTCCAAGGAGGTCTCTTAGCAAATCTTTTGTTTTCACACTTTAGAAATGTCCTTGAATGAAAATTGTTTTTGATTGACAAAAAAAAAAAAAAAAACGCGAAAACTATTGAGAAGGAATTGAAACGAATTCTTCTAAGAAGATGTTTTAGAGGGAACTGGAACACCTGGTCGAGATAAGGAACTGCAAAGATTTTACGCGCCAAAATTTTTAAACGGCTGAAAAAATTCCAAATATCATGGACTAGCAGTCTCAAGAGTACAAGTGAGGCTCAAAAAATTATTTAAAAAATCTACACCTTTTTTGGGAGGCTCAAAAAATTATTTAAAAAATCTACACCTTCTTTGGGAGGCTCAAAAAATTATTTAAAAAACCTATGCCTTCTTTGGGAGGCTCAAAAAATTATTTAAAAAATCTACGCCTTAAATAGAAGGCTAGAAAACTTATTTTAAAAATCTACGCCTTAAATAGAAGGCTAGAAATAGAAGGCTAGAAAAATTATTTAAAAAATCCACGCCTTATATAGGCTAGAAAAATTATTTAAAAAATCCACGCCTTATATAGGCTAGAAAAATTATTTAAAAAATCTGCGCCTTCTTTGGGAGGCTAGAAAAATTATTTTAAATATCTACGCCTTAGATTGAAGGCTAGAAAAATTATTTTAAAAATCTACGCCTTAGATTGAAGGCTACAAAAATTATTTTAAAAATCTACGCCTTATATGGGAGGCTAGAAAAATTTATTGAAAGTTCTACGCCTTAGATGGAAGGCTAGAAAGAGTATTTAAAAGTTCTACGCCTTAGATGGAAGGCTAGAAAAAATATTTTAAAAATCTTCGCCTTAGATGGAAGGCTAGAAAAATTATTTAAAAAATCTACGCCTTTGATAAAGGTCCACGCCTTTGATAGGAAGGCTAGAAAAAATATTTTAAAAATCTACGCCCTAGATTGAAAGCTGGAGCAATTGTTAATAAAAAAACTATGCCAAAGTAGGGAGTCTAAAAAAATTATTTGTCGAATTTATGCCTTAGAAGTGAGGCTAGATAAAATATTTTATTAAATTATATAGCTTTCTTAATTTTTTAAGCATATTTTTTTAAACAAAATTCAATAACAACATTGTTAGCGAATAAATGGTTTTGGTGATTTGCAGACCCGTATTCATCGACAGCGGCATTATGGATCCGACAGATAAACCTTGGGTATTCTGGGCCATCAGCAACATAATGTGTAACATTTTCTTTTCCTTAACCGATAGCTCATACCAACGAACATCACTGTAACATGATTGTATAAATTCTTCATTCTACTTGGGATGAGAATAAAAAATATTAAAAACCGCATGCTATTATTTATTGAAATCTGAAACAGAACTTACCGTAATATCGACCAAAGTACCCATGGCACAAAAAACTTGCATCATTACAAAGCAGTAAAGCAAATAAATATAACCAGCTGGCCAGGAACCCAACAGTACACAGAATAGGGCACATACAATGCCTATAAAGCAAGTACCAACCTTGGCCAGGACACTCCAATAGGTGACTTCTCGACTGGTCTTGAGGAATCTATTTAAAATTGTTATTTTCCGATACTGGTAGAAAGGTTATGCTTCGAAAACCTTCTAGCTACTCACATTAAATATTTCTGATGAAATTGTAAAATACCCCTTAAGGCAGCCAGTGTCTTCAGTGTTCTTTCCCTCTCCGTTTCATAGTCATCATTCAGTAGATCATTAATTTCACGAAATTTACACTGCAATATACCTCGGAATGTGGGTATTTGTGAAATCGGTGTCAATACGGCCATATCACCCGAATATAAACCGAATCCACCCACAGCTATAAACATTACCTGCATGCCACTGGTGATCCAAAAACCAGATGTGGTTTCAATATCCAGCCCCGGTACAAATGCATACACAATTGTTTCTTGCACATTGAATATCAAATTATAGAGAAAAGTAAATGAACTCATACCCAGAACTAACATCAAATTGATGAAGGCACATAATTTCATAAAATTGGCCAGCAATTGCAGGCCCTTGTTCAGATAGACACGATAATCCGAATCCATTTGTTCGTATTTCTTATATAAATCATAACATTCGCTGAGAAGAAAACGATATTGTTTTTGATTGGTTATGTATATAACAAAAGTACAAAGACCCTATAGAAATGGGGGGAACTTGGAAAATCAAAATCGAATTTCTGTTAAAATGTATCATTACCTGTAATAGGGTTCCACCACCCAACGATATCACTTGGACAATAATTGTCCAATCTCCTTCTTTTATATAGCCAACGACCATGGTATAGCCAAGAAATATAAAGGATGATCCAATTATTGATATGACGAATATGGTTCGAATATTAACATGATAGTTTTCATCAAAAACATCAGCACCACAAATGTCGGCACAAAATCTCGTAACACGGACGATTTGTTCAAAACGTTCCGAATGTTTTTTCACCATGGTCTTTGTAACGCGTTGAAGTGGAGTTCAGATGAATACTGTGGGATATGTCAAGGGTTTTCATATTTCATTGCTGCTATTGCATTGAAAAAAAATATTTTTAAAATAATTATTAATAATTGTCCTGTGAATCTGGACAATAGTCACCTCATTGGTCATCACTTCAACGCAATCAAGTATAGATGTGTGGGAAAGGTGTGAATTGTTAAACTATTTAATATTTTTATACTATTTATTAAATAATTTTTACACACCTATGTAGCTTCCTGTAGATTTTTTAAACACTTTTTTAGCTTCCTATAGAGGGCGTAGATTTTTTTAAACACATTTTCTAGCCTCCTAAAGAGATTTTTAAATAAATATTCTAGCCTTCTATAGAGGGCGTAGATTTTTAAATACATTTTCTAGCCTCCTAAAGAGGGCATATTTTTTTAAAATATATTTTCTAGCCTCCTAAAGAGGGCATATTTTTTTAAATATATTTTCTAGCCTCCTATAGAGGGAATAGCTTCTTTAAATACATTTTCTAGCCTCCTATAGAGATTTTTAAATACATTTTCTAGCCTTCTATAGAGGGCATAGATTTTTTAAACATATTTTCTAGCCTCCTATAGAGGGTGTAGATTTTTTAAATACATTTTCTAGCCTCCTATAGAGGGCGTAGATTTTTTAAATACATTTTCTAGCCTCCTACAGAGATTTTTCAAATACATTTTCTAGCCTCCTATAGAGATTTTTAAATACAATTTCTAGCCTCCTATAGAGGGCATAGATTTTTTAAATACATTTTCTGGCCTCCTATAGAGGGTGTAGATTTTTTAAATACATTTTCTAGCCTCCTACAGAGATTTTTCAAATACATTTTCTAGCCTCCTATAGAGGGAATATTGTTTTTTTAATATATTTTCTAGACTCCTATAGAGGGCTTAGGTTTTTTAAATATGTTTTCTTGCCTCCTACAGAGATTTTTTAAATACAGAGATTTTTTAATACATTTTCTAGCCTCCTATAGAGATTTTTAAATACAATTTCTAGCCTCCTATAGAGGGCATAGATTTTTTTAATACATTTTCTGCCCTCCTATAGAGGGTGTAGATTTTTTAAATACATTTTCTAGCCTCCTACAGAGATTTTTCAAATACATTTTCTAGCCTCCTATAGAGGGAATATTGTTTTTTTTTTAATATATTTTCTAGACTACTATAGAGGGCTTAGGTTTTTTAAATATATTTTCTTGCCTCCTACAGAGATTTTTTAAATACATTTTCTAGCCTCCTACAGAGATTTTTCAAATACATTTTCTAGCCTCCTATAGAGGGCGTAGATTTTTCAAATAATTTTTTTCGAGCTCTATAGAGGGCGTAGATTTTTAAATACATTTGCTAGCCCTATATAGAGATATATAGAGATTTTTTAAATACATTTTCTAGCCTCCTATAGAGGGCGTAGATTTTTGAAATACATTTTCTAGCCTCCAAAAGAAAGCATAGATTTTTTAAATACATTTTCTTGCCTCCTATAGAGGGCATAGATTTTTTAAATACATTTTCTTGCCTCCTATAGAGGGCGTATATTTGTTTTAATACATTTTCTTGCCTCCTATAGAGGTCGTAGATTTTTTTAAATACATTTTCTAGCCTCCTATAGAGTTCGTAGAATTTTTAATTACATTTTCTAGCCTCTTATAGAGGGCGTAGATTTTTTAAACACATTTTCTGGACTAGCCTCCTATAGAGGGCGTAGATTTTTTAAATACATTTCTAGCCTCCTATAGAGGGCGTAGATTTTTAAATACATTTGCTAGCCTTCTATAGAGGGTGTAGATTTTTTAAATACATTTTCTAACCTCATATAGAGGGCATAGATTTTTAAAATACATTTTCTTGCCTCCTATAGAGCGTAGATTTTTAAATACATTTTGTAGCCTCCTATAGAGGGCATAGATTTTTTAACACATTTTCTAACCTCCAATAGAGAGCGTAGAGTTTTTAAATACATTTTCTAGCCACCTATAGAGGGCGTAGCTTTTTTAAATACATTTTCTAGCCTCCTATAGAGGGCATAGATTTTTTAAATACATTTTCTAGACTCCTATAGAGGGCGTAAATTTTTTAATACATTTTCTAGCCTCCTATAGAGGGCGTAGATTCTTTAAACACATTTTCTAGCCTCCTATAGTGGGTGTAGATTTTTTAAATACATTTTCTAGCCTCCTATAGAGGGCGTAGCTTTTTTAAATACATTTTCTAGCCTCCTACAGAGATATTTAAGCACATTTTCTAGCCTCCTACATAGATTTTTAAATACATTTTCTAGCCTCTTACAGAGATTTTGTAAATACATTTTCTAGCCTCCTATAGAGGGCATAGATTTTTTAAATACATTTTCTAGTCTCCTATAGAGGGCGTAGATTTTTAAATACATTTTCTAAGACAGGGTGTCTCCTTTAGTGACAATTGCACGTAATTGTAATTAAGCAATTAACCTCTTCACATCTGTCGGTTGTTCAAATCCTAATTGTTTATAGCCAATTATAAATATTATAATTATAATTTTTTTCTCTCTATCTATTTCTAGCCTTCTGCAGGCGGCTAGAAAATTATTTTAAAAATTTACGCCTTGTATAGGATGAGCATTTAATAAGAATTAAAATATATATTTTTGCTCAGAATCACATATATGCAGCGATGGTGGTGTTGGTGTAATGAGCAATTATCCTACCATTGTCAGGATTCACATGACAAATTATTGACAATTACTTTAATAACATTTATATTAACTGCCAGCCATAACATAGAAACCATTTTGACATAGCTCACAGTATTCATCTGAACTCCACTTCAACGCGTTAAAAATACCATGGTGAAAACACATTCGGAACGTTTCGGACAAATTGTCCGTGTGACGAGATTTTGTGCCGACCTTTGTGGTGCTGATGTTTTCGATGAAAACTATCATGTTAATATTCGAACCATATTCGTCATAGCAATAATTGGATCATCCTTTATATTTATTGGCTATACCATGGTCGATGGCTATATGAAAGAAGGAGATTGGACAATTATTGTCCAAGTGATATCGTTAGGTGGTGGAACCCTATTACAGGTAATGATACATTTTAACAGAAATTGGACTTACAATTTCCAAGTTTCCCCCCATTTCCATAGGGCCTTATTGTTTTTATTATATTCGTAACCAAGCAGAAAAAATATCGTTTTCTTCTCAGCGAATGTTATGACCTCTATAAGAAATATGAACACATGGATTCGGATTATCGTGTGTATCTGAGCAAGGGCGTTCGATTGCTGGCCAATTTTATGAAATTATGTGCCTTCATCAATTTAATGTTGGTTCTGGGTATGAGCTCATTTACATTTCTCTACAATTTGATATTCGATGTGAAAGAAACAATTGTGTATGCATTTGCACCGGGTCTGGATATTGGAACCACATCTGGGTTTTGGGCCACCAATGGTATACAGGCAATGTTTATAGCTGTGGGTGGATTTGGTTTATATTCGGGTGATATGGCCGTATTGACACCGATTTCTCAAATACCCACATTCCGTGGTATATTGCAGTGTAAATTTCGTGAAATTAATGATCTACTGAATGATGACTGTGATACGGATATGGAAAGGACAGTGAAAACCATGGCTGCCTTAAAGGATATTTTACAATTTCATCAGAAATATTTAATGTGAGTGGCAAGAAGGTTTTCGAAGCTTAATAGAAAAAAATAAAAATTTTAAATAGATTCCTCAAGACCAGTCGAGACGTCACCTATTGGAGTGTCCTGGCCAAGGTAGGTACCTGCTTTATAGGCATTGTCTGTGCCTTATTCTGTGTACTGTTAGGTTCCTGGCCAGCTGGTTATATTTATTTGCTTTACTGCTTTGTAATGATGCAAGTTTTTTGTGCCATGGGTACTTTGGTCGATATTACGGTAAGTTTTGTTTCAGATTTCAACAAATGTTAGCCTGCAATTTTAAATTTTTTCCATTCTCATCCCAAGTAGAATGAAGAATTTATACAATCATGTTACAGTGACGTTCGTTGGTATGAGCTATCGGTTAAGGAAAAGAAAATGTTACACATTATGTTGCTGATGGCCCAGAATACCCAAGGTTTATCTGTCGGATCCATAATGCCGCTGTCGATGAATACGGGTCTGCAAATCACCAAAACCATTTATTCGCTAACAATGTTGTTATTGAATTTTGTTTAAAGAAAAATATGCTTAAGAAATTCAGCAATTTATAAAATTTAATAAAGTAGTATACATAGCCTTTATACTAAGGCGTTGAATTTTACAATAATAACATTTCTTCTAAGGCGTAGATTTTTAAAATAATTTTTCTAGCCTTCAATCTAAGGCGTAGATTTTTAAAATAATTTTTCTAGCCTTCAATCTAAGGCGTAGATTTTTAAAATAATTTTTCTAGCCTTCAATCTAAGGCGTAGATTTTTAAAATAATTTTTCTAGCCTTCAAACTAAGGCGTAGATTTTTAAAATAATTTTTCTAGCCTTCAAACTAAGGCGTAGATTTTTAAAATAATTTTTCTAGCCTTCAAACTAAGGCGTAGATTTTTAAAATAATTTTTCTAGCCTTCCATCTAAGGCGTAGATTTTTAAAATAATTTTTCTAGCCTTCCATCTAAGGCGTAGATTTTTAAAATAATTTTTCTAGCCTTCCATCTAAGGCGTAGATTTTTAAAATAATTTTTCTAGCCTTCCATCTAAGGCGTAGATTTTTAAAATAATTTTTCTAGCCTTCCATCTAAGGCGTAGATTTTTAAAATAATTTTTCTAGCCTTCCATCTAAGGCGTAGATTTTTAAAATAATTTTTCTAGCCTTCCATCTAAGGCGTAGATTTTTAAAATAATTTTTCTAGCCTTCCATCTAAGGCGTAGATTTTTAAAATAATTTTTCTAGCCTTCCATCTAAGGCGTAGATTTTTAAAATAATTTTTCTAGCCTTCCATCTAAGGTTAATATA